ACCAGACCGCCACGAACCCCCCAAATCGTGCTGTGAACCCAAAGGATGGACAGACCCCATAATCCCCGGCCGACCTGGTGAGCACTGGTCACAAAGCCCCAGCCGAGAGATGACCTGTCCATGAACACATCGAGTGAAGGCTCAGGGAAGTGCCAAGGCACGGAACCCTGAAAACCCCAAAGAGGAAGCTGGTGATGCAGCACCAGCACAAGATCCCCAGGGGAATGAACCCAACGATTGCAAGAGAGGCGGAAGGGGAATCTCCGAAGGAACCAAACAGACGCCGAAGCCAAACCTGACCCTGCGGGCAGACCAGCATGTGAAAGTTCAGACTCCCGCACAACTGCTCGAGCAACTGCCGAGCAACCTGGGACCCCCTCACGAACAGCCGAAGGCGGGACCACAGCCGCAGCAACACTCCTGGAGGGAAAGACAAGGAGCGGCCCAAGAGCCCTAAACAAGACCCAGCCAGGTCCGAACCCGGAACGGAAACAAGTGGAACGGCCTCTAGATCACCAGGAAACCAAACCCGGCGATCTGGAAAGAACCACACCCCTGGCGAGCAGACAAGCGGACCAACTGGGAGCCCACACCAGCCAGTCGTCGAGGTAGGCCAGACACCAAATCCCATGCAGACTCAGACAGGGCACCAAGATCCGGTAAAGATGCGTAAATACACCAAGGGCCAATTACAAACTAGGAAAAGCAACAAAAGCGGCAAGCCTGAAGCCCCACCACCAGCTGTGCCAGTCCCGGAAAACTGGAGAGGAACGTGCCAAGAATTGACCTGGAGGTCCAGGGCCACCATCCAAGCACCCGGCCTCAACAGAAGCTGGACAGGAGACAACAGTCCTCCGAAAAGGGCATGGAATCCAGGGCGCAAACTGAAGAAGTCCAGAAGAACCGCAAATTCGCCAGGCCCGTGTTTGCATAGAGCAGAAGGGAACCCCCAGAAGGATGGGGCAGATCGACCACGCCCAAAGCACCCACTAAGATGACATGACGAAGTGCAGGGGAAGAAGCCCACCCCGCCAGCCCTGAACCCCCCAAAGGGAGAGAAGCCGTCCGCCGCCTCCATCAGAGGCCGGAAGACAACCAAAAGCTCCCACTAACTGCAGGACCATGCGAGAATCAACAGAGCAAGCTGCTCCTCCAGCGCCCCGTTAACAGCGACGGGAACAGAGCCCCTTCCGAAAGAAAAAGTATATATACATATATATATATTATGTACATATACACATACATATATACATATACACATACATATATAAATACATGCACACACAAGGTGTATTACACACACGTGCCTATGCACAGTGCACACATGTGCACACATGTGCATACATGTGCATACATGTGCACACATGTGCATACATGCACAGTGCACACATGTGCACACATGTGCACACATGCACAGTGCACACATGTGCACACATGCACAGTGCACACATGTGCACACATGTACAGTGCACACATGTGCACACATGTACAGTGCACACATGTGCACACATGCACAGTGCACACATGTGCACACATGCACAGTGCACCCATGTACATGCACAGTGCACACATGTACATGCACAGTGCACACATGTACATGCACAGTGCACACATGTACATGCACAGTGTACACATGTACATGCACAGTGTACACATGTACATGCACATGTGTACATGTGCATGTACATGTGTACACACACATACACGTGAAAAGAAAATTACAAGCCGCCGACCATAGCGCCTGGCCGGCGTGGGCACTCTGCTGGCCAGGCGAAGAAGGCACAAAACTGCATCAAAAGGCCCACCTCGACAACAAAACCCCAAAGAACCAGCACGACCACAACACGTGCCAAGACCCCAAAAAATCAGTCTGCAGGCCAGGAAGACCTCGGAACCCCAGAAGGCAGAACCGGGTCACACACGAGGATACAAAGCCCCCTGAACCCACAAAGTGGGCCCAAGAATAAGAAACCTCCGGAATGAAACCAAAGGACCCAAAGGAACCCGGAATCAAATCAGGGGGAGTCCAAACCACCACATTTGCTAGCGGAGATACACCACAGAAAGGCAAAGCACAGCCCCCCAGGGAAACGGTCAAAACAGACTGAAAACTGAGGGACAAGGTGTGGGAGCAAGCATAACAGATAGGGACACTGAGCCCAGACCCAAAACAGACAAAACTGAAAACCCGGTGTAAAATCAACACTCAAACGTTCCCAGAGGAACAGGAAACGGGCAGAAAACACCAGAAAAGCAAAGAAACAACAGGCGAATAAAAACCCTGAAAAAGGTGAAAAAACTCGCCCAAGACGCTCGCTCGCTCGCACACCCAGGCACATGTAAACAAACCGCAATGCCGCCCAGGTGGCCGCGCCGAGAAACCGGCAGAAGAAAATGGCCACCAGAACAGAGAGCCGTGACCGACACAAAAGATACGAAAACACGCCAGCAAAAGTGGGAAGCAAGCAGACTGGATGGGCGAAAAACTCCGCCCAGAAGCATAAAACCCAGGCAGGGGCAATCAGCCCCAGAAATGCTAGCAGGCATCCCCCACAGCCCCTGAAACCCGCAACAGAGGCCTCGGGGCAGAGCTATCCTCCAAGCCCACCGCCCTTAAAGAAAAGGAAGAGTCCATGGGAAAGGCAGCAAGAAAGGGCCGCTGGTAAGACCCAGAAGCCTTGGCAGGAGGAACAGGCTCGAAAACCTCCGTCCCCCAACCCGAACAGGGCAGCCCCCGAAACCGCCCGAGTCTCGGGCCCAACTAAACCCTGCCCCGACCCCGAAACCCGCAGACGGTCTGGAGCCGGGAACAGGGAGGGAAAGGGGCAAACAGCACCTAACTAAAACAGGGTGGCCCCGGGGCATCCGAGTGGGAAACCAACCTAGCATGTTGCAGCAACCTAGCTTGTAACACGGATGCCGCCTGTACTCTGAACAGTAATAACATCAGGAGAGTACTGGAGAACAAGCAGAGAATCTCTCTCGCAAGACTCCGGGTCAAGGTGTCAGTGACCCAACAGGCAACATGACGGAGGTAAACGTGGCGACTGTCACCTTGAGACAAGGGCACAGCAACCAACGATCCCGTACAAGACGGGTTGGAACCCGGAAGACACATTCAATGGTCCACCGAGCCCCGACACGGGTTTCCAGGGCCTGTAGTGGTAGCAACTACAGGAAGCCCGGGCAAGGTGTTGCTAACCAGTTAAGAAACCCAAAAATAACAAGGGATAGAGGACAACACTGAAAACCCCTGTGACGTGTACAATCACGGGGGCCTAGCAGAGGGCCACCAAACACTACCAGTGGAACTATAGCCACACTGGGCAGACCCCCACTAGGCATGAAAATAAAAACAAAAGAAAAACCCCGCAAAAGTACACTGTCACCAGAGGCAACAGGAACTGGTCGTCGCTTAGGTGGCAGGCTGTGCAACACATTGACGCCCTAACCAGCACAATACCAGTCCCTACCCAGGACCAAACAAGGGCCCCAGCTGGCTTCAAGGGCGAAGCAATTGGCGAGCAGCAAGAACCTCTACGGGAATGGTTCCCAAACACCCCAGGGAAGATAACCCTGTCACGCAGGGGCAGTACTCACAGGGCGCTTAGGGAAGGAAGCTCCTAAGTGCATGCAGCCCTGGTACTGATGAGGAACACCTGGCCACCGCACAACACAACACACGGCAGTGAACGCCACACAAGGAAAACACCGCCTAGGAAACTGAGGCCAGAGAAGCATTTATCCCGGTTGACATTAGCTTATGAACTAATGCTAGGCAGCCGGCATGGTGAGGTCCGAGTCTCCCCCCCCCCCTCCCCCTCTTGGGGCGGGGAGGGCTGCGCGGACGATCGGCGCGGCAGTAAAGTGTGATGTTTGCTTGGGATTGTAGGGAGTTTCTACCTCTCTATTTGGTTTTTTGTTTTAGTTTTTTTACCATGTGTGGTTTGTTTTGTTATGCTTACCTTTCTGGGTGCCTAACCCCGGTCGATGGTAGATAAGGAAAACCCCAACCACAAGGGGGTTTTCCAGGGCCATTGCTCCCTGAAACATCTCTGAAGGGGCCAGGTTCTGACGCTGGTCCCTGGTAGATCTGAACTCCTTAGCTAATGTCCCGGTCTAATATAACATACATTAGCCCGATAAGCATCAGGGAGCCGTAGGGGCTCCCCACAGAAAGTACCACTTACCCCGAGGCCAGCAAGGGTGGAAACCTCCCAAAAACACTCGGGGCGGTCAATTGCCAAGTAGCAAAAGACCAACAGAGGTAGACCCAAGGTGACTTGTGGAAGAGAACCCCAAGCCCCAAGGGCAGTACGTAAAGGGCACTCAGGGAAGGTAATCCTAAGCACATGCAGCCCGAGTATCTTGGAATATTTACACCCAGCTCACACACCACCGTAAGAGCAGTACTGAACCAAAGGGCACCATAGCACAAGAGTCTGGAGCTGGAGCCTCACAACAATGCCGTATCCCATCAGCCAAAGAGCTGCGGTGTGGATTGCCGGCGCAGGGGTCTGGGGCTTCCCCTTCCCCCTCCTGGGGAAGGGGAAGCTGTGCAGACATGCTGTACGGCTTGTGTGGCATCATGCTCGTTTACTCGTTTTCAATTGGGGAGTTCTGTCCACTCATTTGTCTATTTTTGTTGTTTTAACCAGAATAGGGGTTTGTTTTGGGGCGCTTACCTTTCTTGGTGCCTGTCCTGGTCGATGGCAGATACAGAATGCTCCAAATCACATGTGCATTCTTTAGACCATTGCTCCTCATTCCTCTGAGGGGGCCAGGTTCTGGCTCATGGTCCCCGGAAGGCCTGGAACTCCACCCACATTGACTTATGTCAAAGTTAGAGATATCATTATCAGCCTGGATAACTCCGAGAAGCCGTAGGGGTTCCACCCAGAAATCAGATTTTTATTTTGTGTGGACAACCCAGAAATTCAGACACTCAAAATTTGAATTAGAACTTTTTGACTAACAGATAAATCTCCACATTTTCTTACCGGTATCTATCCTCACATGCTGACTGGGAAGTGGTGTGGACAGGTGCTTCAGTGGGCCAGCCCCAGGCAGAAAATCACCTTTAGGATCCTCAGCATATATCCTGGCTTCAAAGCTATGTCCTGAAAGCTTAATCTCATCCTGTAATAGAGGCAAGGGTTCCCCAGCTGCAACCTGTGAAAAGAAAGATTAAACCTGTGAAAAGAAAGATTAATCAAATATATCTTTAACTCACATTCAGCAGAACAAATCATATGTTATGATTTTCATTAACAGTACTGTACATAAAATATTTGACCCAGGTCCTGTAACCTTCAAAACAGCTCCTTGGATCTGGAAAATGTTGATTTTGTCCCTTTCAGCCATCCCCTTCCTCTGAAGCCTTTCCTTTGGTCTCGGCTCTCCTATCCCGTGTGGTGGGCATGGACGCTGGCCCTGCTCCAGATTCTGAGTCTTTGGTTTCTAGGGCTTGGAGGGAGTTGGACAGGGCGGGGGCCTTGGGTTCCCTAGGACCCCAACTGGTCTTCCATTCCTTCTGATGAGGGCCATTAGCTTCTTGGGGAGAGGTTTTCTTATCTCCCCTTCCTTATATGATTTATCTGATTTTGATATTATTGTGCCTGACACCTTACCTTACCCCCCAGTTTGTTTCCACATGCCTTATGGTCCATCAGATGTATCCTTCCAGAGGTTACTTCCTACTTGAGTCCAAGCACTATTCTTCAGTGCTTGGGCAGATCTATTAAAATACCTCTTGTGAGACCCGAAGTTTGCCTCTAAAGTAACAGGGGTCCATCATAAAGTTTGGATCTTTTTCACTGTACTGATTGCTCTATAAGGTTCTGGAGTCATCCTAACTAGCAGGCAATTCTCTCTTTTTCTCTTGGCGATTGGTGCAGCGTCTGTCATTCTCGCGTGCTCGAGTCCCATGAGGTTTTGAATGTTCTGTATTTAAGGTAATTTTGGGTGGCTTTACTTTTGAACCACTCAATGACTACCTGTTTTCCCCAGCTCTTTTGTGGGATGTTAAGTTGATGCAGCACCTGCAAGTCATCTGTCATGATGGTCATAGCAAAGGCAAAGGCCCAATTCCCTCATGACAGGTGACTTTCTGGGCTCGCTTGTACTTGATTATGGTTGTCTGTTTTCCAGCCTTCGTGGAGCTTCATCCTGACTGGCTCCATGTGGAAGCTGATTATCTCTACTCGGGGTCAGGTGCGGATGCCTTGTTGCTCACAGTGGCAGCTTTGGCGGCTTTGCCCATGCTGCATGCACCCTTGCCCCAGAAACAATAGCCGAAGTCTACTCTCCCGTCTCGTGAGTCACCAGGCTGCATTGGCCCAGTTGTTTTATTTTACTTGGTCATTGCCCCTTTTGTCAGCTTCCCCTCTTTTTCACCTCTTTCTTCCCAGAGGATGATGTTGCAAAGGTTTTGTCTTCAGGAGCAGCTTTGAGCCAGCCTATTTCTCATTTTTTATGTTCTCAGGGTTCTTATCTTTGCTTTCTGAGGTGTTCTGGTAGGACCAGGGCTTCACTTGCTACTGGTAGCGGAACCAGAATCTGGGTCATATATGCCTCCTGCTGTCAGCTCATCTCATTATTCCATCAAAGACTATTCGCCCTGGAACTCCTGCACTGCTTAAGATGTCAGAAATATGCCCACCAACAATCACGCTGCACCGGACAAGAGCGATGTGGAGTGTGCAGTTTGAGGCATCCAACCAAAGAATATATAGCCAAGCACAAGACCAACCAGACCAAAACAGCCAAATGTCCAAATTGTGAAGACAAACATCATGCCTAGAGCACAGAACATGCCTAGAGAACAGAGATGCAGGGCCAGAAAACAGGATTGGTTCAACAGAAATTGTGAGAGGGCCAGAGACCCAAAGACACAAAAATGGAATCAGTATAGGAAGAGGCCAAACCCCCCAAACATACCAGTGATACAAAGATGCGAGAAACAACTATACAGCAGTAAGGAGAGAGGCAGAAAGGAATTTTGAAAAAGGGATAGCGGATAAATGTAAAACAGAACTGGGCCTATTCTACAAATTCATAAATAACAAATTGCAGGTAAAGGATAATATCCAGAGGTTGAAAATGGGAAACAGATTCACAGAAAATGAAAAGGAAATGTGTGAAACATTAAATGAAAAGTTCCAAAGTGTGTTTGTACAAAATGAACTCTTCAGAGAACCAGACACAATAAGAATTCCAGAGAACAACATAGAGCGTATAGAGGTGTCTAGAGATGAAGTGGAAAATATGCTAAAGGAGCTCAGTAAGAACAAAGCAGCTGGCCCAGATGGAGTTTCACCATGGGTTCTGAGAGTATGTGCATCTGAGCTCAGCATTCCACTTCACCAGATATTTCAGGCATCCCTGTGTACAGGAATCGTAGCAGACGTGTGGAAACAGGCTAACATCGTTCCAATCTAAAAAAGTGGCAGCAGGGAAGACCCCCTCAATTATAGACCTGTATCATTGACAAGTGTAATAGTGAAAGTATTGGAAAAACTAATCAAAACTAAATGGGTAGAACACCTGGAGAGAAATGATATAATATCAGAGAGACTATGGTTTTCGATCTGGAAGATCCTGTGTATCGAATTTACTCAGTTTCTATGATCGAGCCACAGAGATATTACAGGAAAGAGATGGTTGGGTTGACTGCATCTATCTGGACCTAAAAAAGACTTTCGACAGAGTTCCACATAAGAGGTTGTTCTGGAAACTGGAAAATATTGGAGAAGTGACAGGTACGCTTCTAACATGGATGAAAATTTTTCTGACTGATAGAAAAATGTGGGCAGTAATCAGAGGCAATGTATCAGACTGGAGAAATGTCACAAGTGGAGTACCACAGGGTTCAGTTCTTGCACCAGTGATGTTTATTGTCTACATGAATGATCTACCAGTTGGTATACAGAACTATATGAACATGTTTGCTGATGATACTAAGATAATAGGAAGGATAAGAAACTTTGATGATTGTCATGCCCTTCATGATGACCTGGACAAAATAAGTATATGGAGCAACACTTGGCAAATGGAATTTAATGTTAATAAATGCCATGTTATGTTATGTGGAATAGGAGAACATAGACCCCACACAACCTATATATTATGTGAGAAATCTTTAAAGAATTCTGATAAAGAAAGAGATCTAGGGGTGGTTCTAGATAGAAAACTATCACCTGAGAACCACATAAAGAATATTGTGTGAGGAGCCTATGCCACACTTTCTAACTTCAGAATTGCTTTTAAATACATGGATGGCGATATACTAAAGAAATTGTTCATGACTTATGTTAGGTAATTACAACCTGCACGGAAAGAAAAGGTGCAGACAGCTCAGGCCAGGATAAACACGCAGACCAGCAATACATACACCAACACCAACGTCTGAAATACTCATGCACAGCCAAAACAGACACCCACTCTGACAGAACAAAATTTCCCAAATCTATCAACTACAAATCAGAAAATACACAAAATACCAGTGTTGAATGTAATGAAACGCCATTTTCTAGGTGAGACCCGGAGGCTCCCCTGCGCTATCCAGGCTGATATGCTAATGTCAGACTTTGGCATCAGTCATTGTATAGAGTTCTGTGGGCCTACCGGGGACCACAAGCCAGAACCTGGCCCCCTCAGAGAGGCAAGGGGGAGCAATGGCCTATAGAAACCCCCGTGTGGTTGGATACATTCTATGTCTGCCATCGACCGGGTCAGGCACCCAGAAAGGTAAGCATCCGAAAACAAATCCCTATTCTGATGAAAATTGCTACAAAACACCGAACATGTGGATAGAAATCCACCAAAAAGAAACAAGCAAACGAGCATGACATCACATGTCGCCGCGCCACTGTCTGTGCAGCTCCCCCCCTCCCCAGGAGGGGGAAAGGGGAGCCCCAGACCCTCACGCTAGCAATCCACCATTCAGTTCTGAGGCTGGATATCAAAACACACGAAAAACCGCCGACCCGGGGGGAGGGAGGGATGCCAGGGAGCCTCCGGGTCTCACTCGGAAAATGGCATTTCATTACATTCAACACTGGTTTTCTGGGGGGAGCCCCTTCGGCTCCCCGGAGCTAACTACCCACAGAGAAAAATTAGAGGGACTTACCCAGGAGGTGATCGCTGCTCACTCCTCAACCCAAAGTTGAGACATCTGGCTGCATCCGCCAACCCAAAGCGACACAGGCCCGACTAGGCCAAGGAACGTGAGGTAGCGCGCAGCCAAGACCCTGTTCGACCGCCAAAAACCCTGTGCCCGTATGTCAGCCCAGGACATGTTGCCAAAGACGACAGCAAGAGCAGCAAACTTACGAACGTCATGGGCACGGGGATGGACCGCAGTCTGGCTAGCCTTAATAATCTTGCGGACGACCTGTGAGACCCGCACCCGCGAACAGGGAAGGAGGGAAACCGGATCAACCCAAAGCACATCCCAGGACACAGAAGCTGTGGCGCGCAAATAACGGCCAAAGGCTGCAACCGAACACAAAGGATGATGCACCCCCAGCCTGATCAACCGAGTATCAACAACTCAAGGACCCCTCCAGAAAGTAGCCATCCCATTCTTCGCCAGAAAAGAAGGAGATGGCTGCAGACGAACAAACCAATCACCACGACCGAAAGAGCAGACACCCCTGCACCGGAGGAGAGCATGAAGCTCCCCAACCCGACCCCCAGAGGCCAATGCCAACAGGAAAAGAGCCTATGAGAAACAATCCTGAACCGAAGAGGCCACAACAAACCAAGGGAAAGAGAGAAAGGAGAGCACCCTGTCCAATGACCAGGACGACTCAGGTGGCGCATAAGCAGGCGGGACGTAAAACAACACACGAGACAACTTGCGAAACGGTGCAGAAGTAACATCAATACCGAAAGCAAGCTAAAGCTGCTCAGTCAGCGCTGCACAATACGAGGCGACAGTATTCGGCATAAGATGACGGTCCTGGAACAACCAAGAGAGAGAGGACAACAGCACCCGAACCAAAAACAAAGCACAACGACGAAGAGTCAAAAATAACCGGAAGGACCGCCAGGAAACTTCATACTGCCGCCAAGACAAAGCCCGCAGGTGGGACACTAACAAGGAAGCCATCTGATCACCGTACAGATGATGATCAAGTAAAAAATTCCATACGCGAAGACTCGAGTAG